TTTGTGCCTGGATCTCTTCACAGATGGCTGCATACGATTTATCTGAAGGATGCTCGCCCATCACCCAGACCCAGACATCATTGTCAGCTCCCAGCTTCCATTTCACTGACTTCCCGCTGGCTGGAAGAGAAGTAGCTCTTTCGCAAACACTGTTTGCTCAGCGCTCTGTGCAGGGCCTGTGTCCCACGTGCTGCGTCCCCCGGCTGCTGCCGTTGGCAGAACCTTTCCAAAAGTGGCTGGACATGGGGAAAGCTCAGCTGGGACACAGGACGCACCTCCCATTTCATTTCTCAATACTGCAGCCGGGTCAGTGAAGGGGACATTTCTGAATGTGGGGACAAGGGATGCCAATATTTCCTTTCTTTCTCTAATTCTTTGCCACCGCCCTCCCCAAGCCCCTTGACCAGGGCCTGGGTGAGGGTGAACTATCTGCAAACAGAGCAGTTGGGAGAGCAGTGATACCATGCTAGCAGATAACATGCTGTGTAACCCAGGCAAAAAAAAACTTCAGGTCTAAAAGCACAAGGGAAACTCCTGCGGATCTGGTGCCTCAGACAAGGTCAAGGGACTTTTTGAGCTCCCCTATGTTCCTGGCACCCCAGGACAGGTGTTTGAGTCCGTGGTTATCTAATGGACAGGTTCAGAGGCTCCCATTCAGTGGGATGCTTGATGAGCTGCATCTCCTGCTGCCGCGAATAAGGAAGCCACAGCTTCCCAGGAAAGGGGGTTTAGGAACTTGGCAAAGGGCAAAGTATCTGGGTGAGGGAGTAAAACCATTATATGCCAGGCCAAATTAAGCTTGGGAAGTGAGGCTAGTTACAGTTTGGAAATGCAGCTCTGATGCTTTTTTGCTCCCAGTCCCTGGGAAAAGAAATTGCCCTAGGGACACGCTACCTCCCGTTTGTGGGGAGCAGTTGAGTTGGTCTGGTCTGTGCCAGAGGGGGAAGCAGCTGGCAGGCCGAGACTTACCTTTTCTCAGCGGTGGCTTCTTTTGCTGCTTCTTTTCTTCCTTTTCTGCATTAGCTTCTCTTTCTTTCCACCGTCTGATCTGCTCCTGCCTCATCTTGAAAAAGAGGATCTGTTTCTGCTCCTCGTTGAGTTCTGCCAGCAGGTCAGGATCGATGTACATGTCCGATAATATCTGTTTCAGCATGGCTGGAGGTTTCAGTTACGCGCGTTTGTGGCGATGATCTCCAGGGATCCGGTCCTCTTCCTGGCTCAAATGTGCCTGCACCAACAAGAAAGACGCCCTCCCCGCCTGAGCCCGGAGCAGGAATGCAGGCGTGCCAGGGTAATTATACTTCTATCTTTTTTTTTTTTTAGCTCAGACTTCCTGCACAGACCAAAAAAAGTAAATAAGTAGCTTAAAACCTGCTATTAAAATTCCTTGAAATAGCAGGTGAGCTCAGCTCAGTCGCAGCCCCCGCGCGCTCCACAGGGACTGCTGGCCAGAAGAGGGAGAGTTCTGGAGCGGGGAGGTTTTGTTTATATACCTTGATAAACCCAGCTGATAGTATATCAAAACAGAGAGCGCTCTGCCTGTTACAGTCATCAGAGGTGTGGCTTGTCCGTGCCGAGCAAACATTCCTGCTGGGCAGGGAATCAATGAACCCGTGAGCAGACGGCTCCTCCTTTGAAAAGGAAAACTTTGAGATGGGGCGGCTTGATCGTAACAAGTCCGGCCAGCCTCGCTTCAGCAATGAAAGATTGGGAGGGCTTTAGGCTCTGCTTTTGAGGTAGGGGCGGGAGACGCCCGGTGAGAATTCTGGTGTGCTCCCATCCATCAAAGGCAGCAGCGCAGCAAGTTGAGGAGTACAGGTAGCGTGGCTGGTTTCTCCAAAGCCAGGTCGTCAGCAGCGGACGAGCTGAGGCAGCTCCCGGTCTGACAGTTCTTGCTGAGGTGCCTTTCCCACGTGGCCAGCCTGACACCACGCATCCACGTTTATCTGGATGAAGGGGACAGGGAGAATCAGTGCCCCTCTTCCTGCCCAGGATCACGTCAACATACCTAACGCCCACACAGCTGTGCTTTGTGCCCATATATTTACACTTAAAGCAAAGTGTGTTTTTCTCTGGAAAAATTAGGAGCGCTCTGCTGGTAGAGGAGTGAGGAAATAGAAATGTGGACTAAAGACTTTGAAACCAGCTCTTTTCCCTATCTTATCTGGATAACCTCATGGGTATCAGGAGGTTGGTTGATAGCACGTGCGATGACACTTGTACAACTCAGGTGTTGCTGACGGAGGAGGAAGAGGACAGAGGAAGGCTGATAGCTATAGATGAAGTACTCCCAAGCAGCGGGCTGCACAGCCAGGGGCAGCAAGGGGCTTCTGGGCAAACATTTGAGATATGAAGCCAGCAGGCTACAGAGAAAAGGCCAGCAGGTTTACTCATGTCCTTCTACACAAATCCTGGGACTCTGAGCAACGAGCACACCAGGGCACAGTTCAGTAGGTGGGAGGGAGGTGGTTGGTGGGCCACAAACTGACAGAATGACCTGTGCCAGGGTGAAGCAGCAGTGAGTACTAAATCCTGCTGTCAAATCAATAAATTTTCTTACAGTACAGGGTGTAGATCCCTAGGAACCCAAATTTGGGGTTGAGACAGGAAAAAAAGGTGTTGGGAGCACCTTCAGATTCAAAGCATGACTGCTCAGATTCAGCCCAGAGTCTGCCTTTTATTATTATTATTATTTTCATTTTGGAAAGGAGTAAAAGAATAGAGAAGGGAGTGTCAGAGAAACATAATACTGAAGCTTTCCAAAGGAACATGAACGCGATGCATTTAATTAGAGGAAATGGGGCAGCAAAACAGCAGCCTTTGTAAAGTCCAACTGGCAGGACAGTATCTGCTGGGTTTGTTCTGCTGCACTGGTGTTCCACCTTCCTACGTCTCACCCCCAGGCAGGCTTTTGGGGAAGGTCAGGGGGAGGTGTTCTTATCTGGGTAAGGTTTTTTAGTATCCCTCCAATAACAGAACAGTTCCAGCTCAGCAGACAAAGAAAGGAGCTCGGGCTGTCTAAGAGCCATGGAGGACTGCAGCTGCAGAGAATGAGCAGCTTTTTGTGGGGAGGGTGTTGGTGGGCAGTCCCCGATCCCTGGGGAAACCTGAACTGTGTGTTAGGCTGCAAAACTGGGGCATGCTGCTGGGGGATTATTGTTTAAGCTTCACTGCCTCCTGCTCCGAAGCACTGTGTGAAAGAGAAGCTATTTGCAAACAGGTCAGTGTCAGGACAGCACCCTTAGCCAGGATTGGGACCCTTAAGCTTTCAGTTTTGGTTTGTTTGCTTGTTTTTAAAAAGACCATTTCAACACAGTACAAATTGGAGGATGCAAAGTTTGAGGTTTATTTTAGCGAAAGTCAAGTCTTCAGAGGGTACTTGATGCTGCTCTGATGTTAGAAAACGTGACAAAACTTTTGTTTAAGCCCAAGGTGTTTTTTCTTTGGAGAAACAGCAAGGGTTGAGTCCTCTGTGGATCTGAAACAGTAGCTGAAGCAGATGATAGCTTTGAGCGTGGTCTGAACCTGACGGTTGGGCCAACAGAAATCAATCACAAGGTCTAAAATTGAAGAGGCTTTTAATGTAACAGTCTCATTGCATGAAGAGAGGTGAAACACTTTTATTCCCTTCAGGTGAGAAGGTATCATTTGTGGTTTGTGTGGGCCAAATGCTAAGTGGTTTGCTAAACAGAGGGCACTCAATATCTTGCCCAGGGGGACCCAGGGAAGGCATCCAGCTGGTCAGGTCTCCCAGCAGCTCTGCCTTCTGGCTCTGGGTCAGCAGAATTACTCTTCCCTGGAAGCTCTTCAGTAAAGGCACAGCTCGCTAGCCAGCAGGGTGCTTGGAAAAGAGGATGGCCAAAAATGTTCCTGGAAAGGACGTCCTTGCTACAACTGAGACCCGTTCGTCTGTGGCTGGACCTGACTGGAAGCACGGGCCCTGAGCTCAATTCCCCAGCTGGCTGCTGTCCTGCACCCTGCCTCTTCGTACAGCACTCTGCGTCACCTCCGTGTGGGCCCTTCTCACCACCTGGCTGCACAGGAGGCATCTGGTTTATGTTGCAGAACTAAAATGTGCAGCGAGCAGAGCTGCAGGGGCTGCGGTGCTGCTTTCCCCTTCCCTCCCAGTACTGCCCCCTGGTGCTGCAGGTGACCTTCCTCACTGGGATGTGCTTCTCTCTTCAGGTTCCTCACGCTCTGTGTCTAACCTGGCTCATTCTGCCCGCCTGGGTTATCTCCCCAGGTGGGAGACAGCCCCTCACACATCTGTGACAGTCCAGATACCAGGTTTTACCTGGGACGCTTGCACAGATGGGTGAAGAATTCGGATGTTTGGTGGCGCCCATGTGAAGGAAGGTACTCTTCCCCTCTGCTGCCACAAAGTCTGCCCGAAGACAACCTGGAAATTCTCTCTGTTGTATTTAAGCAGCAGCTTGCTATTGTGTCTCACCTTGACTCAGGCTGAACTGCCACTGAAAGTACTGGAAACTTTCGCTGCTTGAGGGAAACATACAACCCTTGAAAGAGCAAGGTCACGCAGCATTTAAGCTGCCTGCTGGAGTGCAGTCTCTTCTGTGCACCTGTAAATCATCTACCATGAATGGGGGAAATGTAAGCACATGAACACACGGATCACTCCGTGTCACCCCCTGGCAGGCTCTTGGGACACCCCCTTCTGGCATCCTGGCGTTCCCTATTGTCACTGCCATCGAAGGGAAAAGTTCTCCAAAAAAAGCGGTAGGCAAACATACATAGATACACATTGGATATTCTCTAAAAACGAACTAGTGAGCATATTGAACGGTGGTCGTTGGACTGATTTTCTGAGGCAGCTCCTTCAGACTGCTGCATGTACCTCTACTGAAAATGTGACAGCACGAACTTAAATTAAAAGTGACCCCAAGAGGCTCAAACACTGTGAGGGAAAAAGGGAAAAAAAAAAAAAAAAAAAAAAAAAAAACACATTGCGGAGAAGGGCGGGAGGGGGCGCCCGCGGCGGCGGCCGTTGCGGCGGCCGTTGGCGGCCGTTGGGCGCTGCGGCAGGTGGCGGCCGTTGCCCCGGTGCCGCTGGGGCCTTCGGGCCGTGCCCTGCGGGCAGCGTGAGGCGCCGGGCGGGGAGCCCCAGCGCTGCCCGGGGGTTGTGAAGGAAGGAGGGGAGGGGGGGTGTGGAGATGGAGAAGTACCAGGTCCTCGGCTTCCTCGGGAAAGGCAGCTACGGGGTGGTGACCAGGTGCCGGCACAAAGAGAGCGGGCGGGTGGTGGCCGTCAAGAAGTTCCTGGAGAGCGAGGATGATGCGATGGTGAGGAAGATCGCCCTGAGGGAGATCAAGCTGCTGAAGGTGAGCAGGGGGGAGCCCCGGGCGGCGAAGCTGCGTTTTAAAGACCACGCCGGCGTCTTTTTGGTAGCTTTGGGGGTATATTCCTCATTAATGAATGCTGAGATGCGTGTTGAAGCGTTGTCGGGCTGAGTGTCTGCGATCAGGGCTCCCCTTGTGTTACGGGTGTTAGCAGTCAGAGCTGACGGATGTGGGTGAGATCTTCCCGTAGAGGCTACGTGGGGAAAAACTGCCTCTTGAGACTCCCTAATTTAAAGAGTGGTGTTTAGCCAGGGAAGCTGGAGGGTGGGTGTGAATTTAAGGCACTCGGTCAGTTTCGACAGCTTTTTTAGAAGGGGTACAGGGCACCACTGTACATCAGCTTATAAAGCACAAACAACAAAGCCAGGCTTGGTCAGGTCCTGTTCATGCTCCCACGAGCAGCCAAGCCGTGGTGGATTCATTTATCCCTTGAACCTTTCCTCTGGCTAGCCCCGACTCAGTCAGAAGCTTGTTTATGTGCCTGGTATTCAGCAGGTAAAGGTAAAACGAAGAGACCCCAAGGTCTCCATATGCCTTCCTGGAAATAATTGCGTCCTCTCTGCCTTGTGTACCAAAAGACAGTACCTTCCTGCCATTGATTTGCTGAAAACAAGGCAAATGTCGAGCTTATAAAATCTGCAGGTAAATGGTGACTTGGATGTGTGACAGTGAGCCTGGCCAGGCTGGGTGCTAACGTTATCTGATATGGAAATCTGCTGCTAGGAACACGGTGGGGTTTTTATGGCACTTTCCTGGCAGGCTTGAACTGCCTGCAAGAGGCTGCAGGAGGGCAAGCAGCAAACTCCTGAACCTTATCGGTCAATGGGTAGCCCCTAGGCTGAAGCCAGCTGGCATTGTGGCTCTTGCTGCCTGAGTGTGTGATTTGTCTGTTATCAGCTGTGGACTCTTTATACTCACATAAATGTCCATCTGCCTGTTGGCTTCTTATCAGCAGTGTTACGTGCTGGCAAGCTCTGTAGTCTCATTGTGTGGGTTAGTTCATTAAGGGTTCTCCATGGGCTGTAGATACTCTGGAAAAATACCCAGGAGCTTTAGATAAACAAGGGGTTTTTGTTTGCGTGCTCTTCAGTGTTTCATCATGTGGTCTTCCTGCTCCCTGTTCTGGCTTTGTTCTTTATGTGAAAGCTTTTGCAAGTTCCTAAGGTGCTTCACTGCAAGGTTTTTCTGATGCAGTTCTTCATGAGCAGGCTGATAAGGATGCAGGTGGGATGCAGTACCAGGACACACATCTGTTCCAGTTGTTTTTTTCACCACCTTCAGGCCCTGTATTCTCCACTGTAACCTCCAGCAGCAGCAGCAGCATTTTCCTTCTTCCCTGAACTCCAGTGAAAGTGTGCGCTGCCCTGCCTTACTCCCCCCCAGAGGTGTTAGGTACCTTGGTGTGTCTCAAAGCGGTGTGCACAGAAAAGTGTCTGTCCCTGTGCAAGGGCACACGTGGAAGTGTTAAGTGTTGGGACGTGGCTGAAGAAATTCTTTTGGTGAAGAAATGAGATTCTGATTAGAGTCGGGGTATATCTAGGCTTTTCCTCAGAATGTGGGGTGTGCTGGAGGTGGGGATGTGTGCCAGCCTGCAATCTCTCCACTTGGCTTCCACAAGAGTCTCTTCCTAAGTCTGGCAGACTCCAGTCCCTGTGCTGAGAAGGGGAGAAAGTCATCTCTGCCATTGCTGCAAGAGCTGTAGGCACTTAGAGTTAATAGGAGTGTACCTGCTGGAGCTTGAGATGCAGCCAGCAGCTGAAAGCATTGTCCCTCAAACACTTACAGCAAATTTGCATGAGTCTGGATTGTACCTGGTCTGCTGGCACGCCTCACTTAGTTACTGAGTCAAAGCACGTAGCACCTCCCAGGTGTGTTGGAAATTAACTTGTTTTCCTGGGTAAACGGGAACTGAGCAAGGGGGATTTTTCCATATATAGCTCGGTAAATGGCCTCTCACAGTGAGAACAAATATCAAGAGATCTAATCTTGTAGTTTCTTCACTTGCTCATTCCCTGTGAACCTTTTATTTTATTTATTTATTTGTTTCTCTTCTGGTGTTTGGGCAGAAATGTAATCTTTACTGAAAGAAGCAAAATCTGTTCAGATCCCCTGTGCAGGGAGTAAATTATTCTGGAGAAAAGAGCTTGAGGAAACAGCTGAGAGGATTGAATTGCTGCAGCTTCTTCAAACTTGATTCTGAAACGCAGTATTAAGAATGTGACAGCATCTGTATGAGCAGTCCACCTGCTGATGATCTGTGCAGCAGTCCTCCCTAGCAGAGCACCCCTCTGCATGGACGTGGATGTGACCACAAAGGGCATAGAGGAACCCGTCGCTGCTGAGCCCCAGGATGGGAGCTATAGTCTCTCCCTCTTATTGTTAAGTTGCTCCACTGAGCCTATGTTTTACTGGTCTTTTAAATCAGAAGTGTTTGCCAGATCTTAGCCCCTCAGCTGTTATTTGCCCCTGGCAAAGCCAGTAGCGTTTTGCCCTACCTCCAGTCATGTCAATGACACTGCGGAGAAGTGCCCACAGGACAGCACTTGATCTTGCAGCTGCCAGAGTCCAAGTCTTGGTGCTGGAAAAAACTGACCTGGGGATGCTGGCCAGGGAGGGCAGAGCCTGGCTGGGTTTGGCTCAGCGTTCAGGGCAGTGCTCGTGCAGAGCAGCCCAGCTCCTGCACTCATAGGTCCTCCTGCATCTTCAGCCACGCAGTCCTGCCCAGGCAGGGATGCTGGGCCGGGAGGTGTCAACACGTAACGAGCAAATTCAGGTACTGCATTCAGATCAAAAAGGTACAAAAAAACAGCCCCCCACTCTCGATTTCTAACTGAGCATCATTTTATAAAATCTTCAGAAATTGGTCCTTTTGCATCTTCCTTGGTCGTGGTCCCTGAGATCTGCAGCTTTCCCCTCTGCATAATAATAAATAAAGGACAAAAATCTTCAAATCCTTGGCTTGTCACTTTTCACTCAGAACCCACTAGAGACAGTTTAATCAAAGCTGTTTAATTGTTAACTGGAGTGTTTTAGGTAAGAATGATGAACTTTATCCATTCGGTGTACTTGTATTCTGTCACCTTGCTTATTGTAAATGTGCTGGCAGTGCCAACAGAAATGCGTTGGGTATGGTAGGAGTGAAAAAGAAAATTCTTTGATCAGTTTTATAAGAAAAATTAAGATACAGACATTAAGTAGTTGGTGATGAACTGGCAGCTAGGTAGAACAGAGGTACTGCATCTGGTTTGGGAACTATTTGAAATGGGGATTTAAGCGATTTTTAAAAGGAAGTCCTAGAGAAAGGAATGAAAGAGAAGAAAAGTAAAACTTACTGGAAATATGGGAGAAAAGAGATGAATCTGCTTTGGGGTATTGAGAGAGGCAAAAAGTTTTCTAAAACAAAACATTGACAACTGTCTTCATCAATTCTTTGTGTGCTTTGAATCCTATCTGGAAGGAGTAGCTGGTGTTGAACCTTGTACTCTGCTTTGAGGGAGCTGGCAGGGTAGCGTAGATTTACTTGGCCACCTGTATGAGAATGTCTCATAAATAAGTCTGAGTCTCAGACACAGCCCAACGTTACAGCAACAAGCTGTGTTTATTGCTCCTTGAGCTGTTTGCAGCAAAAAGCAATGCCCTTAGTATTTTATTTATTTCTGGGTTCCAAATACAGGTATCTGCATATAGGGGGTGGTAGAAGTCCTCCAAGTTACCTTAAAAAGTGGAAAAATAAAACCTGTCTGAAATATCAGTGAGCTGATTTTAAGAACAAATGAATGTGGGTGCTATGACAGGAAGAGCACTCTGGGGTAACGTATCTGCTGGGCTGTAGTTAAAAGTGTCTGGGCTTAGTTTACTCATTAAATGTTTTCATGCTCTCACAAAATATTTCCTGTTTTATAACAGCAACTCAGGCATGAGAATCTCGTGAACCTGCTGGAAGTGTGTAAAAAGAAGAAACGGTGGTATCTGGTATTTGAATTCGTGGACCACACAGTGCTTGATGATCTTGAGGCATTTCCAAATGGACTAGACTACAGCAGGGTTCGGAAATACTTATTTCAGATTTTAAGAGGAGTAGCATTTTGTCACAGCCATAACGTAAGTATGCATGCGAAGTGCACTCTGCACTTAACTTTGAATGGATAGATATAGAGATGTATATTTGGTACTTATTAAAGCTTAGAGAAATAGAGCTTGGGCTGGAAGATGGAAATTGAGCAGATGGGCCTGACTGAGTTTCGCCTTAAATGTCAGAGCTTGACATCAGCTAATCCAGTGGTCTGTCTGTGACTGACCTGTGACAGTTCTTCAAAGGAAGGCTCCAGGGGTCCAAAGGGTTCAAATGCTGGTGTCACCTCACTGAAAACTGACTTTCCTCTGGCAGAGGGATATCATCTCTCTTTCAGAAGCTTTTCTTTTTTGTCTTCAACATTTTTAGGTTTTTCTTTTTCACTAATTTGTAACACAGGTTTGCCAATTTAATCGTGTTCTTGTAACTATGATGTATATATGTATATATTTCTTCTTATGTTTGGAAAAGCTGTCTCACATGTATTCCTAAAATACTCTTCATGTTTAACTGCAGGGTATGCAACACTTACAACTTCTAAACTTGTGATTTTAAAGTATAATAAATTATGCCTGTAAAATAGCTATGGTAAATACATGCAGAGAGGTGCATAAAATTAACAATTCTGTACAAAACCTGGTGGTTTTGTGTTCACCTGTGCACTTGAGTTGGCGCTTGATAAATAAACTGTGCATTTCCCATGCCTGCAGAAATTTAATTTTTTACCTGAACGTGATAAAGCTACTGTTTCTGGTGGGTCAGTCATTTTAGCATAGGGAAATGATTTGTCTTGACTTGCTTTTCTCTGTGCAGATAATACATCGGGATATTAAGCCAGAGAACATCCTAGTCTCCCAGTCGGGAGTTGTAAAACTGTGTGACTTTGGTTTTGCTCGCACGTTGGCAGCTTCTGGGGAAGCTTACACGGACTATGTGGCAACCCGATGGTACCGAGCCCCAGAGCTGCTGGTGGGAGATACCAAGTATGGCAGGTAGGAGACGGGCAGGGAAGCTGCAGAAGGGCTGTGGGACTGGGGGGTGCTCTGTTCTGGGGGGAGGCAGGGGGCTCTTGCTTGGCAAACAGGTTAAAGGAATGCTGGTTACTCGCTTGTAGATGCTGAAGCTTTTCTCTCTTCTCCTCCTCTCTGGAGCTAACTACTGCCAGTGTTAGGCTTTCCTGGCTCAGAAGGAGAGGAGGAGACACTGAGCCAGCCACGTTCCTAGTCTGTTGTCTGCAGGAACTTGTTGGTTGCCAGAGCTAGTAGCAGAAGAGGCTGCTTCCCCCCTGCACAGCTGGAGTGCTGGATGGGAGGCAGAGAAGGCCCTGTAGTCAATATGAGACAGACATTTCAGGAGGGAGGGGGTGGAAGGAATGAGATTTTTCTTACCTGGTTCTCCAGTGCTGCAAAAACATGTCAGAAATTAAACGACCTTTCACAGGCCTGTTTGTCCAGCTCTTTATGTCCCTAATGTTCATTTCTGGTAAGTGCCCTGGCAGAAAGAAAATGGGCTTACTTTTGTGGTCTCCAAAGGGCAAAAATCTTATGTATTTCATTGCACTAGAATGTTTGAAGCATTGGGGTTTGGAAATTGATTTCAGATTGGTCGGGCTTCTTCTAGTGTTTGCCTGCTTCAGGAGCTGAATCCTTGGCATTCGTCAGAGCACTTGTAAGCTTGGAAAACAGCCATCTTGATGTTTATGGGGCCAAAGCTGCCCCTGGGGCTCATAACCTGCTTAAGACTTGCTGGGTGATGGCCCAGCTCAGCCTTTAGCTCCGAGAGAGGAATGAAGCCGTGCTGAGCTGGGATGTTTTTCTTCCAGGGCTGTGGATGTGTGGGCTATTGGCTGTCTGGTCACGGAAATGCTCACAGGAGAGCCCCTGTTCCCTGGAGATTCAGACATTGACCAGCTCTACCATATCACCAAGTGCCTGGGTGAGAACAGCCTGTCGGGCTACTAGTGCCTGCTCACTAACGAAGGGGTTCAATAAGTCTTGATGGGAGAAGAGGGTGTGGGAAGAGACTTTGGTGTATGCTGAACTGTTTCTGAGAGCATGATTTCTTAGCGTCTTTTATGAAGGGGGGCTAGGAGCTTGTGAGTACAGCTGGCATCAAGTCATGGTGCATGAGTGGAAAGAGAGTGACCCACGTTGTAGCCCTCTCAGTAATGCTGATCCAGTATTTTGGTTTCTTGAACGTTCTGCAGGACTGCATTTCTTCCATGTGGTTGCTTTGGTTGTTTGATTCCAGGTAATTTAATTCTAAGACACCAAGAGTTATTCTATAAAAACCCCCACTTCGCTGGCATGAGGTTGCCTGAAGTGAAGGAGGTTGAATCTCTGGACAGACGATACCCCAAGCTCTCTGCTGCAGTGCTGAATTTAGCCAAGGTACGTAACTGATCATTTTGGAAGTTCCTTGGAGAGGTTCTGTCTAGAATTCAGCACAATCATTTCTCTGTTTACTTGTCCCTTGCCTTGGGGAACTGAATGCAGCCTGCCAAAAGGGCTTGTTAATCTGACTTGCTTTCAACTACCCATACAACGATGAACTGCTTGGGTTGGCAGGTCAGTGAGGACCATAAAGATTCTTCAGCTGCTGTCCTGCATGATGGGGGAGACTAAGCCAGTCATACCATAGCCAAAAGGATCGCTGCATACCCTCTGAGGGAGGCTTGTAGCGTGCCTTGCACCTCTTCTGTGGATCGTACACAGCTCCTTACATTTTCCTTGCTCGCAGAGCTGTGTGGATACAGTGTTTTCTGGCAACCCTCTCCACAGGCTGGTGGAGGCACTGCAAGCAAATAGGCCTGGGTGGGATGACATCCAAACACACACCTTGCTCTCAGAGCTGTGTCTACTGTGTGGGAGCTAGGAAGCATACAGCTTGTAACTGATCCTGAAGATTTTTTTCTTCCTTCACACAATAAACTTGAGCATTGATATGCTGGGTAACTAAAATAACCTAAAAAACCCTTGGTTGTGTTTGAAATGCCTTGTGAGCAAAACAGTTTCTAAAGCCTCAGCCAAGCAAATGTAGTTGGAAACGAGAGTTTTACTGGGATCTGTTTGTGTGGCAGGTATTACCTATGCAGTCTTTGTGAGCCCTAGTGATTAGAATGGATGTAGCTGGCAAAAAGCGTATGTCTCTTGGGCTTATCTCAGCATAAGAGACCCCAGAAGTGGGAGCTTTGCAGCTGTTTTTCTTGACTTCATTTGGAAATGTTAATGCCTTTGTTTCATTTCTGAAGTATCTGCCTTCTAATGTTTACGTTGGTTTGACAGAGGTGTTTGCAGATTGACCCAGACAAAAGACCATCTTGTGCTGAACTCTTGCAGTGCGATTTCTTTAACGAGGATGGATTTGCTGAAAGGTAAACAGTTCATCTCTTGCTCAAAATAGGACAAGATTAAAAGGAAATTAAGCAGCTGTGCTTGAAGACTGCATGCTGATTTTGCAGAGCTGATGGTTGCCGAGTATTTTGGTTTTGTTTGGTTTTAGCCTTCCTGAAAAATGGGAGAACAGTTGAATAGGAGCACAGTGCAGTGGCATGTTTACCACATTACCTTGTCACAACATTAATTCATCAGTGTGCGCCCAGTGTCACAGCACTTTGGATAGTGGGTAGTATTGTCTGACAGTGTATTTATTTAATGTCCGCATCTATGCCAGACTGGGATACAACCTCCTTTATTACTGTGATGTGGAAAGTGTGCATGTGTAAGACTTTACTTATTTTAATGGATAAATTGTATTCAGTTGGCTTCTCGTTACTTAAAAAGACAAGGTTTGTTTGATTACTTGGATAGCTATAACAACAGCCTGGGCTGAGCACTAACTAATGATATTTAGAATAACAGAAGCCTTTTCTCTCCCCCTCCCTTCCTCTTTACGTGATATGTAATATAGATTTGCTCAGGAGCTTAAACTAAAGATTCAGAAAGATGCCAGAGACCATCAATTACAAAAAAAATCAAAAACCAGCAGAAAGGATAAAGATGATGCTTTAGAAGAAAGAAAGATGCTTGGTGTCCAGGTTAGTTGATCTTTATTTTCCAAACCTGTATTTTTTTTGTCTTTTAAAATCACTATATAAGTAAGTATGTGCTGCAGTTTAATTGCATAGCAAAAATATAAGCATAATTTTACATTTCATTAAAAAAAAGACTAGATAACTGATGTGCCAGAGAAGCTCACCTCTGTAAGTCACTGCAAATCTAAACAGTGCTGAAGACTTAGTAATTCAGTTCAAGGCATTACAGCAGTCCTGTGCTCCCATAGCTCTGATACTCAGTGCAGTACAGCCTTCAGGCTGTTGCGTAGAAATTCTGTGCCTTTGGTGCTGACTGGCTGCTACAAGTTGCTCTGGTGCTTAGCTGGCCAGTCTCCAGGTGGCTATTTGGTCAGTCCCTTGTCAGTGAAATGCATCGCGATGCACTTCCTGGCAAATACAGAGCTGAAGGGAGAATCAGAAAGTGTAAGTCATGTTGGATGAGCAAAGCATATTTGTATGCGTCTGTTTACCTGTGTTAAAGTCCTGTCTCCAAAACTGCATATTTTGCTTTCAATCAGATACAAAGGACTAGAGGCTTCAGAGTGACATTGAGGTGACATTGGGCTTGGTTCTTATTTCTTTGGAAGTGACACATGATACGGCTGTTCTTCCTCCATCACTTCCGATTACATTCCAAGGTGACTTATTTACAGAGGGTGCTGGAACCCTGACAAGTTTCCTCCTTCCAATTTTAATGGCAAACAGGTTTTCTATCTTGCTACTAAAGGCAATGCCATCTCCATCAGATCCTTGCAGAGTTGTGCAGGTTTAGGCTTTTGACTTTTTCCTGCATGCGCAGCTCTAAGTTTCTTTTTAAACATAACTGTAAAAGAAGTATGATGCTTATCTTCCCAAACAGGATTTCAACATTGACCCAAAGAGCAGTGATGCAAAGCTGTTCAAAGCGAAGTGCTCTAAAGCTGATGGAGAGAAAGCAGAGCGATCTTCCAACCACAGCTCCCTGTATGACAGTGCAATCAACCCATTTAAAATAGGCCCTCAAACCAGCCTAAAAGATTCCAGCAGCAGCTTGGACTATGCCAAGAACACAGGCATAGTTATTCCTCCCATCAACCAGAACATTTCTCCCACTATGGTTGGGATGGGGCCTCTGCCTGGAAACCATAACTACAGGTATGGGAACAGAGCTGGAGAAGCTTGTGTCTATTGACCCTGCTGCTGAGAAGCTGCAGTGTGCTGAGGGAGGTGAAGGAGATGATGTGGGAGTGCGAGAAGGGGGTTTGGGACAGGATGCAGCTAGGAGCAGCTCTTGGGAGGAGGATTGTACATGGGTTAGAAAGCCTGGCTTCATCTCAAGCAGCTTTGAGGGTCCACGCAGCCAGGGGGTCTCTGTGTTTCTGCATTTGGCAAAGCACTGCTGCACAGCAACAACTTGCCAGCTGCTGTGATACTGGCCTTTCTCTGAGTCCTTTGGATGAAACTTTTTTTGTTAGCTGGGTCCATAGAGAGTGGTATCCCTTTAACCCTTTTTGCTTACTGTTTAATGTCAGTGGTTCTGGGTTTCTTGCGTTTGTATTTATATTTACCACGTTACCCTGGTTAGTACAAAGTTTAGGTCATTTTTCATTACAGAGTTGATGAAAAGAGCAAAAAATACTTGAACCCATTTCTAAAGCAAAGGAAGCGTTCTCCAGCAGGCCATTATAGTGTAAGCTTGACATCGGTAAGTTGTGTCTTTCCCCCTTGACTAAGTAAAAAATAAAATACTGAAGTATGTGCTTTATTGTCAAGAATCCCTTCTGTTGCAGCCTTCACCATAACTCTCAACTAGAAATACTGTGTTCTTCAGGCCTTTTTTCCAACAGTTGTGTCATTTGCTATTCTTTGTTAGTATTATCTTATATGAAACACATTTTGTGTTAGATGACTTTTTAAAGGAAGCAAGGGAGCGGTCCAACACAGGATACCTGGATTATATACCTGGTGCCATGGAATATATCCATGACATCTTGCCTGGACAGAAAGGGTGGACCTCTTTGTGTGTGCTGCACTGCTGAAGCAGAGCTTAGGATTTTGATTGAACTTTTTCAGGGCTTCATTTAGTCAGGTCACAAATGCATGTGAAGTTGCTAATGAAAACAAGTGAAATACAAAGTTCTCCATTGCACTCACTACCTAGATAATATTTTTCCATATTAGCAGGAATATTTGACTGTTTCCAGAGAACTAATCTGAACCATTCTCATTGTATTTTGTCTCTTTGAAAGCAGTCTCATTTAGATGATCAACATTGTTTTTGTTGTTGTTTGTTTGTTTGTTCATTCTGTTGTGGCCATTCTGTTGTTTTTTACTGTATAAATTAATCAGAATGAATTCCTTTAAACATAGGGCACACTCTTGTTTTACTACTGTTCAAGTTCCAACTACAGTAGAATATTGCTGTGTTGATAAATTTTAAGTTTGAAACTTGAAAATAGCTTTGTTTTTTATATTCTGCACAAGCTGGCACTTATAATTCACTTCATTTCAGGTTTCTAATGACAAGAACATCCTTCAGGCAAACAAGAAAAAATGGGAGTTCTCCAAGGCAGACGTACGTTTGCCAGAACTAAATCCTCTCCCTGAACTGAGAGGAGTGGACGGTATGAGCTTTAATGTCCTCTATGTAAAACCTTGATCCTAAATCAGTGGCAGAAAGCAGTCTGCATTACAGCAGTCAGCTCTAGTTTCTTTAACACTGTATGCATTGGTTGCATTTTGCAGCGTGGCATCCCAGATATCTCAAAAAGGAAAATAAAACAGTTTCAGAGTCACGGGTCCCCTACCTTGCTGCTATTGATCTCCATAACCCAAGTCTGGCCTCACAGCAGGTAAAAAAGGAATAAAATAATTCTTGGTGCTGTGTTTTTCTTCGGTTCAGGATTTTCTGAACAGTGTGACCCACAAGGTTTCTGCCTGGCTCTTAACAGAAGCAAAACTTGTCTTGGTTTCTCAAGTGTCTAAGTAGAAACATAGGAGGCCTTGAACTGGGGGGAAGGAGAAGGGTCACAGATGAAACATAGGGCTCTGCTTTTCTCTCTGAGGTTAGCTAAACACTATGTTTTTTACTGGCAATGTGAATTGTTGCAATTTCATCTGGCTGGATTGAGGTAGAAGTAAACCCAATTTTCCAAAATTGAAGAAAAAACAGGAAGAACACGTGTTTTGAGCAGAATTGTTCTGACTGTGCTATACATGGAGGGGAGGAGTGCAGTAGAGAGGGAGAAAGTGTAGGAGTCGGGCACAGGGAGAGAAAGAAGGGAAATACTTGCAACTCCTAGAGGTTACTTCCCCAGTAACGCTGAAATGCTGTGGGAATTGTGTAATTCCCTAGGCTGCTGCCACTTTGGCAACCTTGCTTCCAGTTGAGGTTTGGCAGACTGTACTGGAGGGAGAAAAGGTGTATTCTTGGCACAATTTTTTGAAGCCAGATTTGATCAGAGAACAGTTGTGTGTTGGCATTGCATATGTACCTAGAAGGTGGTTTCTTGTTGTTCTCCCTATATTATACTACATATGGAATTTGAAAAATTTCTTTCCCAATTGACAGATGTCAGGGAACTCGATGCCTGATGCATCAGAAGCCGGTTTCCCTAGAGTTGAGCACTAGCATTACAGAGAAGATCACACTTGCCTTTAAAAGGTAGGCTTTAATTTTTACAGGAGAGCCTCCTGGAGTCTTTCAAATGGTTTGTTTCATAAACACTTAACTAGCTGGGAGGTGTGATGGGAAAATCCTTTTACATTTCACACTCTGGGTGTGGAGACTGCTTACTGAGGACCGCATGCAGCTTTCTTTACAGATATTGAAATGGGCTGGGGCAGGTAAATCATTTCTTGGGCTGAAGTGCTGGGCGGTGGTGTTGGAAATTAATTCACTTGTTAATCTGGGAGTTGAAGCTGGTAGAGTAACAAAAAGGGAAATAGCAGCTTAATAATGATGTCATGCAACTTAACTTAATCTAAGTCTATTGCTGTAGCTGTTGAGCAGTTCTCAAAGTGGTTCTGTCTGCAAAAAAAAATAAAAGGTCGTGTTTTGTTTTGTTTACTTTTCTGTTTGTTTGTTGAGATATTGTTACCTCTTGTTGCTCAGCTTCTTCCTTGTATATAACAAAGTTTCTCTCATGTCTCTTGAAAGCAAGAACTCCAGCGGTTTGCAGAGGGTTTTTACTCCCGGTGATATCACTGAGGCTGGATGGAACAATTGCACCTTGCAAAGGGAGCAGAAGTTGGGGAGGAGAAAGGGGGGGAGGAAGCAAGGTGCTCTGAAAGGCTCCTCAGAGGCTGTGCTCCAAAATCTTGCTGGCTTCATTGGAACCTTGTGTCCTGCATAGACGGGCTTGTCATGGCAAGACCAGTTAATGTGAGGGTGCAATCTGTGCATCTTAATTTTATAGTTTGGGCTCCGGTGTTTTCTTTTTGAGACAGAGGAGCAACTGCTGACTCTGAAATGGGTTTTTAGTCTTGTGCACAAGTACTGCACGTGCTTTTAATCTAGGTGAGTGTATTTGGCACATACATGCATGCGATGTGATGGCTTAATGCCACTAGGAAGAAAGAAGCAATCCTGATAATAAGTGGGGGAAAGGAACCTTACTAAAGCTGTCTCATCTGTGAAACACAAAGGTGTAAGTGCACAGCTTGTAATGAATAAAAGTAAAGGAAGCCTGTCACCAGGGAATACCTCCATGTTTTTGTTTGCCTGCATCATCCTGCTTTTCTCTTCTTGATGCAGGTGGCTGACACAGTGGGAACAACCCACCCGAATTTCCAGGTGCTAACACCAGGCGGTCATCTGGAGAAGAAAGGAGGACTTATGTTAGCCACTGGACTGCGATGGGAAGTGGCTTGGGTCCAGCCCGAGGACAGAGCTCTTGCAGCCATTGCTGCTGGATTTCTTGCATGCGAAACAGCTCTCAAAATGCTGACTTCCTGGCTTCGGGCCAGGCTGCTCAGAAAGAAATAGTGATTGTCAGTGTGTGATGGGCAGAAGCTGCTCTGGAGTATTTCAGAAGAGGCTGGGCTTGCTTTTTTCTTAACTACTGCCCTCACAAGGGGGGGGTTCTTTTTAAATGAGTGGTGACGAAAGCAGATACCTGCTGAATTTGGTATGTTTTGGTGGGCTACCTGCTCTGTACTGGAAAGCACCTTTGCCTCGGTAAAAATATCCACGAAAAAATTGTGCAAGAAATGTAAATGTGTAAATGTTCCTGACTGTTCCTTTGAAACCCTCGCTCTGCTCAGCAGCATGTGTGAAGTTGTGTTAGGTTCCTTCCTCTGTGCTCTCTTCCCCCAGACTTCTGGGTGTTAAACTGGGCCTGTTGTCTGGCTGCACTGGATGAGCGTGTGTCTCCTGTTAATGGTGAAGGGAGAATATCGGCAAAAAACACTGAACTGCGATGCAGATGGCGTGTGAAAAGGTTTTAGTGAGCGCTCAGCAAGTCACTTGGTCCTTTAGTAAGTCATAGTCCCTTAGGTCCCTTGGGGGAATGGGACTTGGACGTACAAAGCTCAGCAGTGGCTTGTGGGGAGGAAAAGAAGAAAAAGAAGAAAGCTGTTTATCTTTGGACTGTTACGCATCCACTTTTGCTTTACCTGCTCCCAGCTGGCTTCGGGCAGTTCTGTGCTCTCCCCGTGCTGCCCTTTGGAACTTGCTGTCCCTCCACAGCACAGGCTCAGTGATGCATCCCTGCAGAACGCACCATGACCGTCATCGTTCTTAGAGCTCCCTTGCTACGCAGCTGTGCCAGGCACGTTACACCTTTTCAATAAAAGGACAGTAAAAATCCAAACCTCTTGGCTCGAGTGTGTGACTGCATACATAAAAGCTGCTTCACCGGGTGTAAACCTGGCGGTGTAGCTGCTCACGTACCTCGGCGGCACTGTCCTGTGTTACAACAACAGGACCCGGGGGGGTGTTAATGACAGCACAAGCCTTGTTTTCCCCCAGCCGCCTCCCCTCACAGCCTCCTGCCCGGCCTCCCCCGGCGGAAGGGGCGGCGCAGCGCGGTGCCGGGCGTGGTGCCGGGCCGGGACCATGGCGGCGGGCGGCGAGCAGGAGGGCGGCTGCGAGCACTACCGGCGGGGCTGCCTGCTCAGGGTCAGCCGGCGGCGGCGGGGTGGGCGCGGGGCCGGGGGGCTCGGGGCCGGGCATTGAGCCCTGAGCCGAGCCGTGCCGCTTGGCTTGCAGGCGCCGTGCTGCGGGAAGCTCTACCCCTGCCGCCTGTGCCACGACGGCGCCGAGGAGCACCGGCTCGACCGCTTCCGCGTGGCCGAGGTGCAGTGCAGCCGCTGCCGCCTGCTGCAGAAGGTGGGCGCCGGGGCGGGGCGGGGCGGGAAGGGACGGGGCGGGGGGCGCCGGCATGGCGGGGGCTGGGGCTGGGGGCGGCGGCGCCATCTTGAGCCGCGCACCTCACCCCCGTTACCCCCCTGTGTGGCGGCCCCCGCAGGCCCAGCAGCGCTGCGAGGGCTGCCAGAGCCTCTTCGGCGAGTACTACTGCGGCGTGTGCCACCTCTTCGACCGCGACAAGAAGCAGTACCACTGCGACGACTGCGGCATCTGCAGGTGCGACACCCATGGCTGAGCCGCGCCCCTCGGCATCGGCTGCTCGGGTCGGGGTGTGAGGAGCTGGGGGGCGGCTGCTGACCCGCTGCTCGTCTCCTCAGGATCGGCCCGAAGGAGGATTTCTTCCACTGCTCGAAATGCAACTTGTGCCTGAGCCTCAGCCTCCGAGGGAAGCACAAGGTGAGCGCACGGCAGTTTGTGCCTGCCTTTGGGGAGCAGCGCAGTTTCGCTGACAGGAGCTGGCTGCCTGGGCTCAGCCCCAGCACACGCAGGCGGGCTCAAGCCTTGGTCTAAGTGCACCAAACAACACACCTCTGGGCTGGCTTCGCCCACAACTGAAGGAAAACACCCGTAGGGAACACGCCTTGGTCTCCTTCCACCCCTCTTCTGTCAGTCCCTGACGGTGTTTAAATCGGAGCTCCTGCCCCTGCTGCAGCATGGGGAGAGCTAGGCAAGGCTTGGGAGCCACTTCCCTGTGTATACTTCCAAGCTGTGTTTTATTATTGTTATGCTAAACCACCTGTTAATCTTCAGAACATCAAGCGTAAATGAAAACAGTAATGTTTCATACATTCTTGTCTGTCTCTAAAAATTTCCATGTTTAAACCAATGTAAATAACCCTATAGTAGATTAACCTTTTTCTTTGTCTTCGCAAAGTGCATCGAAAATGTCTCCAGACAGGATTGTCCAATATGTTTGGAGGTGAGCTACTTCTTTTTGACTCTTGCAATTGGATGTGCTGTTGGCTGTCCTTGAATTTAATATTATTTTTTTTTTGTCTAATACTTGTCTCAAAACAGGATATTCACACGTCCCGTGTTGAAGCTCGTGTTCTGCCATGTGGTCATCTTCTGCACAAGTAAAGCACTGCAAATATTTGAGCACTGGAAATAACCTGCTGCCTAGTGTGCACTGCTTATTGCAGCGTGTCCAGAGCAGGGCTACGAAGTTGGTGAAGGGCCTGGAGCACAAATCCTATGAGGAGCAGCTGAGGGAACTGGGGTTCCCTCAAGTCTGGAGAAGGCCAGACTTTTTCCTTTCATTGCTCTCTACAAATGAAAGGAAAATGTGGGAAGCTGGGAGTCGGCCTTTTCTTGCAGATAACTAGTGATAGGACTAGGGAGAGTGGCCTCAAGTTGTGCCAGGGGAGGTTTGGGTTGGAAATGAGGAGATATTTCTGCTCAGAAAGAGCAGTCAGGCACTGGGACGGGTTGCCCAGGGAGGTGGTGGAGTCACCGTCCCCGGGGGTGTGCAAGGAAAGGTTGGACATGGTGCTTGGGGACATGGGTTAGTGGGTGACATTGGCGGTAGGGGGATGGTTGGAGCAGATGATCTTGGAGGGCTTTTCCAACCATAATTATTCTGTCATTCTGTTCAGCAGCACTACAGGCTTTGTTGATGTACGTGCCTGGTTTTGAAGGGAGTCATGGTAGAGTGGCATTTTATCAGGAAGCACTTTCTTCAGAAAAGATGTCTTCCACAATCCACTGGATCTTGGTGGTGGTGGAGGATTCATTCTGTTATTTTTTTTCCTCTGCTGAGTTTCCTTGGGCACATCCAAGGCACGGGAGTACTTTGTTATACTACAAAGCCTGTCCACTCTATCGGGCTTTTATTAGGTGTCCTTAGAAGGACGATTACAGCAGGACCACCTGCTTCCCTCCCATCCTCGTAACCTTGAGATAGACACTTTCCTTTCCACATTTTTCTCTGTGTGTACAGTTAATGGCCTTCATGTTTGACAGAGGCCTCTCCAGATTGAATCTTCCCTCAGGTCCCATCTACCTTAAATTTACCTTGTGGTATGTCAGTCTGTTTTTCTTAGCAAAATCGAATGATGCAACCCGTGACATATTTTTGAATTTGTTCACTCACGTTACTTTAGAAGACCTTAGAATGGAATCACGTGTGCTTTATCTCTGCTTGTTTGGCTAAGTACCAAATGGTTTTGTGGGAAAGCTTTCTTTTCACTTGGACTGAGGATATTTTTAATTTACGGTCTGGGGATAGCTGTGTGCCTTTTCCCTTTGTTCAGTCCAAACGTGTTGGGTTAGTAACCCAGATGTGTTACTGGTCGGTAGCTGCGTTCTTCTTACCAAGCCTCTAATTCTGTTTTCTTTTCAGAACATGTTATGAGGAGATGTTAAAGGAGTAAGTATTTATAAACCTCTCTTTTCTGTGCATGGTTTAATCCAAGCAGATGACTTGAAGGGGCAAAGATCATGGTGCCAGTACTCAGTAATTTCAGGGCAACTCCTAAAGGGAAAAGGGGCTTCTAATTTCCAGCTCTGTTTGCAAGAACTTTCAGTTTGCAGAGTTTCTCTCTGACTTGTATGATGAGAAACTTGACCTTTTGTTGTTCCATGGCCCTTCTCCATCTTCTGAATTAGACTTTTTTCCCTTCTTTGCCAGAGGTTACAGGTGTCCTTTGTGCATGCACTCGGCTTTAGATATGAGGAGGTACTGGCGGCAGCTGGATGATGAAGTAGCGCAGACTCCTATGCCCACAGAGTATCAGAACATGATGGTGGAGGTAAGAGACCCGTGCATGCCTCTGCCCTTGGCAGATCTGCATCTCTCCCGTACTGGCGGTAGAGGGCAGTAGGAACTTGTCCTGGATCAGAAGCCAACCTGACTCAGGGAATGATAAAGAACTGTCATGTGTCGGCTTACGGTGTGATCTGTTGGGTTTATAAACAAAGGCACCCTCCGTGCCACTAGCAAAACAAACAAAAGAAAAAACAACACATAACAACAACATAAAAACAGAAAATGCCATAATATCACACAGTGGAGAAATGGCTTGGTCTTCGGAAGTATCTTGCTTCCTTCTGTAGCATTAGGTGCTGTCAAAGCAAAAAGCAGAAATATTTCATTTTTTTGTACGTTGGAGCTTCGTGTTCCATGTTTGTTTTTTTTGTTTGTTTTTTTTTGTTTGTTTTTTTCTTGCAAAAACACTCAGCTATTGATTTGTGCAAGGCTGGCAAATACAAACTTCTGTTTCCTTTCAGTTACCTCAGAACTGTGAAACTGGGTGCTGCTTGCTAGTGAGACTGAATTAAACCACTCAGATCATTGATGTTCTGTTTGTGTCTGTTCTGGTTTAGGCAGCACATCTTACTGACTCTCTGAGTCAGAGCGTTATGGAAAATCTCCTCACGGCTCGTTTTGAGAAGAGCATTCACTTTGACTTATGTCTTACACAGCAGACAAGCTAATGTCGGTAGCTGTTGTTAATCTGCTCTCATTTTGACTTGAGGCTTTCTCTGGTGTTCTGCTACATAAAGAGAAGAAGCTAAGTAAGGCGTGTCTGTCCCTGTAGCTGCAAACTGAGAAGTTAAATCAGCCCTGTCTATTCTGCTGCTGCCCTTAACAAGAAAATATTTTTGGCATTGTGCCCTGACGGCAAGCCAGTTCTGTAGTTGCTAAAAGCATAGTTGTACTATGTTGCTGAGTGTCCTGTTGATGCTACAGCCTCTCTCTCTCTTCTTCTTTCCTATATACGTAGATCCTTTGTAATGATTGCAATGCCCGCTCTACAGTGCAGTTCCATCTCCTAGGCATGAAGTGTACAAACTGTGAATCGTATAATACTGCCCAAGATGGAAAATGCAAGCAGCCCGCGGAGTAG